GTCGATGCCCCGCGCAGTCTCTGGCGCCCTGGACGGAGCTGTGCAGGGACCTTGGACCTCGTCCGGCGTCCCATGGTTTTGTCGTCTGTTGTGGACGTGATGGGTGAGGCCAGATTGCAGCCTTGACCCTCCGAGGCTTAGGGACACTCAGGGAGGACATAGGACTCATCCTCCTCTGCTGGTCTGTCTCCTGGACTCCAGTCCCGCCCCAGGGTACAGGCAGCCACGGAGGAGGCAGGAGGGGCCTGGCCCTGCCGGTGCCAGGACAGGGCTCCGCTCGGGACCCTCATTCTGGGAGGCTGCTGGCCCGGATCGGCCTGGAAGCGCATCCCACGTGGGGACAGACGCCTGCGGGGCTCCGAGCGTGGCTGTTGGGTCCAGTGTCCTTCGCGGTAGCCCCGGCCCGCCCAGGGCCCCGGGGGAAGGGCTTAAATGCGGGTCCGTCAGCGTGAATCGCCCTCGAAGTGGTTATCACAGCTGCGTTGCTGCCCCTGCGGCCGGGCCCGGGAGTGGCTGCTGGCGAGGTGGGCGCTGAGCCTGCGAGGAACCGGGCGCCGCGTGCCCACCGGACCCCTCGGCCTCACGCAGAGGGCGGGGCTCACGGCTGTCCCACCGCTGCGCCCTGATGCCGGGCTGCGTGGCCCCACCCAGGCCCCGTGAAGGCTCTGGGTGGATGGATGAACGAACGTGAGTGCGGGCCGTGCAGGCTCCAGGCTCACGCTCCGTGGCCAGCACCGCGCGTGGGGCCGTCAGCAGCCACGCGGGGAGAGCCTCCCGGGAGGAGCCCGCCCCTTCACCCGCCTGGTCCCCAGCCCAGAGCTGACGTCTTCGCCTGTCGTCCTTCTCAGAGCCTCGCCCACCTCCAGCCACTCTCTGGAGGTGCTGCTGGCCCTGCCTCCCCACCCACAAGCCACAGGGTGGACCCGGCCTCAGTCCCCCTTCCCTGGGGACAGCGCCCCCGCCAGGTGCTCACTGTGGCTTTCTTCCTCGTCCTGTAGCCCGACTGCCACCTGCATCTGCACCTGCTCTGGGCAGACAACCCCTACGTGTCGGGCACCGTGCACACCAAGGAGACCGCGCCCGGCCTCATCATGGGGGCAGGTAGGAGGCCCGTCTCAGTGGCCAGAGGCAAGCTCTGACCTCGGGGGGAAAACTCTTTGGCCACGGGCCTGGCAATGGGGTGTGTGCTGAGGGCAGTGCCAGCTCCTGGCAGCTCAGCTGTCATGGAAAACCAGGAGGCGAATGCGTGGGCACATGATAGCTGTTGGCTGAATGGGAAGGTGGATGGATGGATGCATGGATGGAGGGAGGGAAGGAGGGAGGGAGAGAGGGATAAATGGGTGGGTGGATGGATGGGTGGATAGATGGGTGATGGGTGGATGTGTGGGATGGATAGATGATGGATGGGTGATGGATGGATGCGCGGGTGGGTGCATGGATGGATGGATGGATGGGTGGATGGATGGGTGATGGATGTATGGGTGGGTGGATGGATGGGTGATGGATGGGTGGGTGGGTGCATGTATTAATGCTCGGTTGGACCCCAGGAAGGAAGACAGGCACACGAACCCTCTGCCACTCTGTTGGAATCACTTTGTTTGAGGACAATCCATCTCCTTTGGAATTTTCCAATGACGCCTGAACCTGACTCTGGATAAGATACCCCTGAGGGTGCTGCATGAGTAAGGCTTCAAAAAGGAGGCGATACACAGGTCGCCCAGGGCTAGAATGGCTTCCGTGTCCTCATCACAGGTCCTCCGTCTTCCTGGGCGCTCAGACCCCTGCCCTGCCAACACCACAGGGCACGGCGAGGCCTAGCAAATCTGGCTCATCAGCCTACGCTGTTGTTCATGACCCTCCCAGGAGGCTGTGGGGGGCAGGAGGGACCTGGCCCCAGAGGCCACGGGATCAGTCTCCAGTGCAGACTCTCTCAGTGGCCACCATGGTTTCTATAGGAGCCCGTTTAGGCTCAGGTTCCCCATCTGTTAGCTGGCGTTGGCTTGGATACTGGGTTGGGGTTCTTCCCACTCTAGCACCAGCCCCAGGATTAAGTCGGAGCCCCATGGAGTGGCCATCAAGGCTGGTAACCCACCCACCAGCCGGTACCGGGACTCAAGTGAACCACAGGGAGGAGCCTTCTGGGTGCCCCACCCCTTTGGTGCCCACCTCACACCCCCCAAATCCACTCAACAGATATTTCATGAGCACCTATCACGGGCTTTCTCTGCTGCTCACCTGGACTGCCCCTGGCTTCCCTGGACCCGCCTCTGGTCGCCCCTGAACCTGACCCCCTGGGAGCCGTCTCCAAAGATAAACCCAGCTGTCCTGCCCCAGCTCAAAGCCCATCAGGGCTGCATGTCCCCAGGCTGGCCCGCCTGGCCCAGATCCCCTCGAACCTGTTCCTCACTGTTAGGGTTTTGGCCAGCGATTCAGGCTGTGAAAGAATTCACGACTAAAAGAAGAGATGGATGCAGAGAGGAAGTGTATTTTTGCTTCCCCTGAAGGGAAAGGACTGGTGCATTGCTAAACAGCACAAGGGCAAAGAACAAAAGCTGTTCCCCCTTTTAAAGCCTTGGCTGCTGTTGCTAGGTGACAAGGCAAGGAGGGGGATTTGGGGACAAATGGAGTTGAGCAGACATCAGGGGGGTTGCCTGAAAAGTTTGCTTGCTTTTTTTAGGCAGATGTCCTAGGGAGCTGTCTTTCTCAGCATCTTCCAAAGCCTGTAAGGCATTCTTAGAGCGAAAGTTGTGAAGAGCCCAAAAGAGGCTTGTTCGAAGGGGGAGAAGGAAAGGGACCTTTCCACTCATTATCCCTGAGTTGTCACCCAGCAAGGAGGAGGGGATGCAAGAGTGTAGGCTTGGGAGTGACTTTTCTTGCAGCTGGGACAGAGGGCGGTTTGAATCAGGGAGCTGACAATCTTGGAGTTTAAATACCAGGCGCTTCTCATACGTTGTAGAGGCCGCAGCAAAGAGAACGAAAGGCCTTTTATCCTCGTTCTCACACGCACACCCGCCGCCACTCTACGCTTCTGATTCTGCACCCACACTCGTCACCCGGGGGTCCCCTGAAGCCGGGCGCTGCCTGCCCCCGGGTCAGCGGGGTCACACTGGAGATGCGAGGCTGCCTTTTGGGGGGCAAGGCTAACCCTTTAACCACAGAGGAGGCCAGGGCCCGAGCAGAGCAGTTACAGCGACCCCCACCATCAGACGGACGCAGACAGGACACAGACGGACGTTCAGGTGGGAGGTTAGAGCAGGCACGGGGCCCTCTCGGGGACTTGTCTGGCTCAGACCGTGGTAAGCGGGGAGCTGGCTGGGCCTAGACCAACCCTGCCCCTTCCTTCTGGACCAGGCAACCTGGGCTCCCAGCTGGTGGAATACAAGGAGGAAATGTACATCACCTCAGACTGCGGGAGGACCTGGCGGCAGGTGAGGAGGCAGGGAGGGGCCGCGCCCACCCCGTGCTCATGCTGTGACCCCTCCTTCCCAGTGGGCGGCTGGACACACAGCTCCCGTTAGCAGATGTTACATCCCCGCTGGTCCAGCCCACCAGCTGTTCCACTGCAGGACCTGGCTCAGCTCCACATGGTCACACACGGTACCGGTACCGTGATCGTGGAAGCAAAGGAAGTGAATACCAGGAAGGGGGGTGGGGGGGAGGTGCCGGCCTGTCCCCGCAGGAAGCCACCTGGGGACTCCAAGGCATCGGCTGAATGCCACCCGAGGCCAAGAAGTGGGGGCATGGACAACCCCGGGGTCCCGGCAGGGAGGCTGCTGGGTGGACTCATGGAGGAGGAAGAAGGAATGGGAAGAGGAGGTTGGGGGGCTGCAGTGAGGCTGGGGAGCTGCAGTGAGCCTGGGGGTGGCCCACAGTGAGCCTTGGGGGGCCATGGTGAGCCTAGGGGGCCATGGTGGGGCCATGGTGAGCCTGGGGGTGGCCCGCGGTGAGCCTTGGTGGGGGTGGGGGGGGCACGGTGAGCCTGGTTGCCATCCCGGGTGAGGATCTGATGTGGCCTGAGAGGAGAGACAGGAAGGGGAAAGGGCACGAGGCAGAGATGCTCCGTGCTCTGTGCTCTGTGCGGCCCATGGAGCTCAGGGAACAAGGCGCCCAGGGAGGCGGTGGTGGACGCACCTGTGCAGCCGCTGGGGGCTCAGTAGCCGACCCCGCGCTCCGCCCGGAGGGGGCCTGGCCCCCTGCACCCGCCACTCGCTTCCAGCAGAAGGAGGCCTGCGGTCCGCCCCCTCCATGGAGGGTCCCTCTCCGCTTGAAACCCTTATGCGCACGCTCTAGACCTTGGTGTGCGTGTCCCCTTCCCGTCGCTGGAAGAGCTCGGGTTCTAGGCCCCTTTTCGTCCCCGAGCACCCCAGCCGCAGCCCCTCTCCTGGGGGGGCCTCTGACAGGCATGTGGGTCCCAGCGCACCCCCATTGCCGCAGCCTCGATGGGGGGCCGGCGCTTTTTATTACTGTGCAGGAAACAAGGCGTTTTGAAAAGGGCAAATGCGATTTATAATACTTCTACCTCACGGAGCTAGTGGCGCGTGTCTGCGCGTCCTTAAAGGTCAGCAGCTGTCCGTCACGGAGCCCGGTTAGCTCAGCGCCGGGGCGGCCACAGGGTCTCACTCCCAGGCCCCGTGGACGGTGTGCATGGCCCGCTGAGCTCCCAAATGGGGAAGTCGGGGTTCCAGGGGGACCATCAGCTTGGCTGCCGAGTGTGGGCCTGCCCTCGGGGTGTGGTTCTCTTCCTGAATGATGGGGGGATGCAGGGAGCTCCAGTGCCCAGGGAGGAGAGGAGGGGCTCCCCTGAGAGCATGTGTGGGCGTCAGGGGAGGAGAACCGCGGAGCGGGCTCTGGGGTGGGAGAGGCCGGGGACCAGGTGGGACAAAGGTCGGGCCGGGGACCAGGTGGGACAAAGGTCGGGCAGGGCACGAGTGGGTGCGCTCAGACCAGAGGCCACCCGCTCAGGCCAGACGCTGCCTGTGACCAGTGGGGCTGAGAGCTCTCAGCGCGGCATGGCAAAGGCCAGCAGGGGGCGCAGTTCACGGCGTCCCTGGGGCGAGCGAAACAGCAGCCAGGAAGGTTCAGGGAGGCCCTGGGAGCCAGGGTGCCGGGGAGGCAGGAAAGAGAAATGGGGTTGAGGACGCCTGCCTCTCCGCCCTGCTGCCTGGGGCGGGCCGGGGCACAGACAGCCACAGCCAGGGGCCAGCACCCCTGAGACCCTGCTGGGGAGTTTGGGAGACCCCAAAGCCCCCTTTTACAGAGGCCCAAGCTAATGAGTGTGGGGTTGTCTGTCACCTCCCTCATCCAGGGATTTCTGTCGCTATTACTGTAGCCTCAGGCAGCATGCTGATCCCAAGCTAATGGTTAGGACACAGGACACCAGGCATCCAGTCCTCTGATCCCTGCAGCTGCGGCCGTGGAGTTGGCAGCAGTGAGCACCGTGGGGTGTAACTGGGGAGAACCTGGTATTAGCGCCCTGATACCAGGAGGGCTTCCTGGAGGAGGCAGCACTGGTGCTGAGCCTAACGTCAAATAGAGGCTTGCTGTTACTGAGGATGTGCAGCCTAACTGCTCTTCTTTTTTTAAAATATATGTATTTTTTATTTATTTCAGAGAGAGGAAGAGAGAGAGAGAGGGGGGGGGGAGAGAGAGAAGCATCAATGATGAGAAAGAACCACTGATTGGCTGCCTTCTGCACGCCCCCTACAGGGAACCAACCCACAACCCAGACATGTGCCCTGACCAGGAATCGAGCTGTGACCTCCCGCTTCACAGGTTGATACTCAACCACTGAGCCACGCTGGCCGGGCCTCACTGTTTTCTAAATTCCGTTCCTTCTCTCCATCTTCCTGTCGCCGGCCTTTCTGGCGAGTGTCTCATAGAGGCCCCCGGCCCCCGCAGTGTCTACCTGCCCTGTCCTTCCTCAAGTCCCTCGCTGGTCTAGAAACTGGCATTCGCCATCCGTCCATGCCCCGTGGACTAGCTACGTGGTGTGGCAAAGCCTGGGGTGTCCGGGGGCACGGGGAGCCCTCAGCTCGGCCCTGGCCCGGGGACAGCCTCTGCT